AAAATCTCTGTAAATGTTTATGAAAATTAATAAAATATAGAAAAAGAAAAAAAATAAAATAAAAGGATGGACGAGAACACCACCTACGCTTCTTAACAGATCACCAAAGGGGTGGAAGGGAACGATAAACATAGCTTTCTACTTAAATACTCCTCCTCAACCACATCCACAAAAGAAAAGATAAATTCTTTAAACAGATATTCAGAATCCTTTGTAACTTGTTCTAAATCTACCTATCCTGCCCAAGGCGGTTCACTGGAAAGGTAAGGCACTTTCAACCCAAAACCACAGAGTGTAGACCACGCGTCAGACCTCCAAGGAAGAGGCGGGCAGAGAGCACCACCGGTGAGGGAAAATCTGCCTACAAGCGAGAGATGCAGAAAGGTCCGGAGCAGGAGGCAGTAATCAAACCTTCCTCCCAGCTGGGACGTTCCACGACGACACTGCTCCGCCCAGGAGCCGCCCAGGTTGCAGACGCTCTCTCCCTCCCGCTCCTCCGCGCCGACCTGCCACCGCACCGACCTAGAGCCTGCAATCAGGGAGCCTACCTCTCGGCGATGTACAGAGTGCCCGTCCCGAGGCTCTTTCCATCCAGCACCGCCTCGGTGTCTGCCTGCTGCTGCCGGAGCCCTTCAGCCTGGCCGGGCGGCGGGAAACTTTTGAGAAAGCTCATCGCACAAGCGACCATCGACACACAGGCCCAAAGGGATGTGAAGGGACCACAGACCCAGCTCACCCCGGAAGCAGTGACAATTGCCCCGGTACAACAACTAGATGCCGACGTGCATTTGAGCGCCGGCAACCATAGAGACGAGCCCTTCTAGGAAAGGCGTCTGGAGGTCTGCGAAAGCCACCGTGTGGAGGCTGTCACGCGATACTCGCCACGCCCTCGCCATTTTTTTTTTTTTTTCATGCTTGGAATACCATCGTGTTCTCCCGCCTCTCATTTCAAAGTCGTCACAACATTGCTGGGAGGGAGGAAGCACGAAGCTTGATCTTGATCTCTTTTAGTACAAAAGAGGAAATGGAGGACCGAGACATGCGGGCCTAACACAGAGAGCTGAGATCACACGTTTCTAAAAGTCTCCTGACTCGATACAGGGCTTTGCTCACCTTGTCCCGCCTCACCTGGAACGATTCATATCACAACTTTACGCAGCCACTTATCAGACAGCAATCTAAGGCCTGATCCCCACATTGCAGGAGCGATGCATCTATGTTGACTTAGGCGGACAAGTGAGCACAGAGAGACGTTAATTCATTACCTCAAGGTGAAGAGCTGGCTATACGGACATGGGGCACTGAGGAAAAACAGCCTTCACAGGAACAATCAAAACTTTAAAAATAATTATCATCTCGGTTAATGTGTTAGGTGCGAGTCACTGCTCTAGACATTTTATACGCAGTAGTTATGTAAAGAGCCTGGTGGCGCAATGGCTAAAAGCACTGGATTGCTAACCTAAACGTAGGCAGCATTTCTGAAGGAGGAAGCACTTTAAATTTATTGTGAATCAAAGCGTACTCTAGCGGTTTTGAAAGCTGTTTATCTTGCGGGAAGAGACTGCCCGTGTTTCTCTCAAGAAGCTGCTAGTAGATTGAAACAATCAGGGTTCAGTCTTTGGGTAAGCAGTGCACCATACACACACACAACCTTGGAAACCCTTTGGGACAGTTCTACTCTATCGTATAGGATCGCCATATGTAGGAATAGGTCGCCATAATAGGAATCCTGTACACCCAGTTCTTACTTTTTTGGGACAATTTAATGATAAAATTCCAACTTGACCAATTATACAGGTAAGAAGTCTGAGGCATTAAATTCAGGGGCAAGAGTTTGGCCATGAGATACATAGTGGAATCCAAACCAGTTATACTCTTTCTGGACACTTCCACTTTTCTTGCCTATAAATTTAATAAGGAGCTGTGGTGACTTACTCCTAGACGTTTATAAATAACCTTCGGCAATAATTGCACGTGATATTAATGTTCAAGAATTTCTATATTCTGTTGGAGCATCCTTTTTTGTTTTGTTTGTATAGATGTTTTTATATATATCATGATATATGTGTAGGTATATGAGGCTATATCAATATACACAGGTTTGGAGGCGGAGTGGCATCCACTTCCTAAACAACATACCTCTGGAAACTCTATGATAAATTATGATAGTTATAGAAAGGCTTCAGGCCTTTTGTTCATAAGGTAGCTATAAGTCATGCTCGACTTGACGGCAATCGAAAACAACCAGCAAAATGCATAGGAGTTCCAACTGCTCAGTATCTTCAACATTTGGTATTGTTTTTCACTCACATAGGTTTGTCAGAAACTCGTTCATTACTGTTAAGTCAGTTTTGCCTCAAAGCTGATGATGCTCTATCAAGTTTCTAAGGCTGTAAATCGCATGGGATGGAGGGTTCATCTTTCTCACAGCAGCTGATGGATTCAAGCTACCAGAGAAGCAGGTTTATAGTTTAGGTTAATAGTGCACTGTATGGATTGCACCACTAGAGGTCCCTAGTAGGTACTTAGTGTTTTTACTTTTTAATTTTTTTTCTTGAAGGAAATAGCAAAAAATAAGGCCCCCAGAATCGATGGTATACCAATTGACATATTTCAGCTAACAGATGCTGCCTTGGATGTGCTCAGAACAACCACTTGGCCAACTGACTGGAAGAGATCTATATTTGTTCCCATCCCAAAGAAGGGTGACCCAACGAGTGTGGAAACAACAGAACAATATCATTGATTTCACATGCAAGCAAGATTCTACTGAAGATTATCCAAAAACGACGAACAGCACATCAGCGGAGAACTGCCAGAAGTCCAGGCTGGGTTTAGAAGGGGTCGTGGTACTAGGGATATTGTAACTAAGTTAGATGGATCTTGGCTGAAAGCAGGGAATACCAGAGGAATGCATATCTGTGTTTCATTGACTATGCAAAGGCGTTTGACTATGTGGATCATAACAAACTGTGGCTGACTCTGAGAAGAATGGCAATCCCAGAACACTTGATTGTGCTAATGCGAAACCTATACTTGGACCAAGAGGCAGTTGTCAGAACAGAGCAAGGAAACACTGCATGGTTCAAAATTGGGAAGGGCGTATGCCGGGGATGTGTCCTGTCTCCATACCTTTTCAACCTCTATGCAGAACAGATCATTTGGGAGTCTGGGCTCTATGAGGAGAAATGTGGGGTCAAGATTGGTGGAAGATCTATCAATAATCTGCCTTATGCAGATGACACAACCCTGCTTGCTGAAACTGAGGAGGACCTGAAGCGCTTGCTGCAGAGGGTCAAGGACAGCAGCCTCCACTACGGATTGAGGCTCAATGTGAAGAAGACAAAGATTCTCACCACTGGGCCAATTGGCAGCATCAGGATGGATGGTGAAGAGATTGAGATTGTTCACAGCTTTAGTTTCCATAGCTCCACAGTCAACACTCTCGCACCAGTAGCCAGGAAACAAAGATATCTTGCAATGGGAAACTCTGCTGTTAGGGACCTCTCCAAAGTACTGAAGAGCAATGGTGTCTTGCCCCGGCCCACGGGGATCTTCAACGGTGACCCTAGGAGGGGAAGAAAGAGAATGGGGGGGACAGGAGGCACCAAAGCAGGAAGACAAGTCTAATCTCTGATCAAGTCTTCCTCTTATTGAAAGCATTCACAGTTTATCTATAGGAACACAATGGGGGGAGAAGTACACAATGGGGGAGAATAACATGTCGTTTCCAGTAAGCTGAAAGTTATCTGGTAAGCAGAAACTTAGCAGGGTGGTCCCAGTAAACCGAAACCTATCCTCCCAGGGTGGGGCAACATGTCCAAACATGTTCTTAGAGAATTACAAAATGGCTTCAGCTAGGTAGAACAAGCAGCTCGGCTCCCAGCAGTGTCTCTCTGGAGACTAAGGTGCATCTTACAGGCCATGGTCTTTGCTATCACTTGTTATGCATCATAGAGTTGGACAATGACTAAGGAGGATAGAAGGAGAAATGATGCCTTTGAGCTGTGGTGCTGGAGAAGAGTATTGAGGGTAGCATGGACTGCTAGGAAAACATATTCATCCTGGAAAGGGTTAAACTGGGTGGCTCCTTGGAGGCAAGGATTCTGAGGCTCCATCTAACATACTTTGGACATGTTGTAAGAAGGGACCAGTCTTTTGGTGAGGGACATACTTGGTAGGGTGAAGGGAGAGCGCGGAAGGGGAAGGCCCTCTATGAGGTGGATTGGTTCAGTGACTGGGGTGATCGGGATGAGTGTATCGGAGACAGTGCGATTGGCACAGGACAGAGCAGAGTTTAGGGCTGTTGTGCATAGGGTCGCTATGAGTTGCAAGCGACTCGACGGCACATAGCAACGACAACAACATAATGAATAAAGTTAAGTACTTACATGCTATTGACCATTGTGTACTGTTTTTTCTATCCTTTTAAATATTTTAAAAAGTAACACTCTTGTTATAATGTTTAGGCGTTCTTTACGTATTCTTAGTGGTCAGATATGTTTTATTTTATCCGATTCCATGGTTTGTTTTCTTATATCTCCAGTGCTATATTTTTGAAAGAAACTATTCATTTTTATAAAGTCAGTTTATTATTTTACTTTCATTTTTAGTGCTTTAATATCCCAAGATATCTTTGGTTACTCTAGGTTGTGAACATATTTTGTTATAGAAATTTTTAATTTGCCATTTTAGAAGAATAATTCATCATGAATATTTTCACTGTATGGTGTCAAGTGTCCATATGGATAGCCAGTTCCAGCCTCATCAATTGAATAAGACATTCTCTAATTAATTGCTTGACTACTTTAAACCATGTGACCATGTGTTGGTGGATGTATTTCTGTTGCATTAATATAATGTATATAGTGCATTATATAATGTATATAATACACTTTGTTACTACTCTACAGTCTGGAAGGTTTTTAGTATATTTTAGAGTCAGAATAAGTTCTCCAACTCTGTTCCTCTTTTTCGAGATTGCTTTGACTGTTCTAGGTTAATAGAGCTCATGTTGGGAAAATTAGAGGATCAGTGAAATAAAGGAAAATTCTTTTTTTTCTTTTTCATAAAACAAATTTATTTAAAAAAATGAAACACTGTCTTATAGATACACAGGTATAAGAGAAATTCCAGGCTGTGGCAGCATCTTCTCCACAGCTTCCACCACAGTCAATATTGGTTCCGAAACTGGTTGCTTAGTTCTTGGAGTTCAACTACTAAGGTGTCCATGGCTGCTATTTCATCAGCTAGCTCCACGGAAATTTCTCCACTGGTGACATCTATAAAAAGATGCTTTGATTTAGATATCAAGCCCCGTAAATTGAGTCGAACTGAAGAAAGCACTTGGATAGCCTCTTGGGGACTGGATTTGCTTTTACTGCATTTTATAGCCACATGTGCAAGTCCTAAGGCTCTCTGAACCACTTCCTTAAATGACGCCACATCCTTCTCCCAACAACTGGACTGTGTGTCGCACTTGTATGCCTTAGAGAGATACTGGAATGCCTTTTTATTGTCATCAGGCTTGCCACTCTGCCCGTTTCCATACACTTGGGCATACAGTCTCCAGACGGCACCATCGTTTGTCACTCTTGAAGTTACTCTGCCAAGTAACTCCTGGAGTTTTCCTTTGAGCCTGGTTGCGGCATCTCCATTGCGCTCAATCACCCCATCAACCACTGCTCTGACCAGAATTTTAAGGACCTGAACGTCTTTG